CTTGGGCGGTGACGTTCCTAAGCCTTGCACGGCAGAGTCGACCTTCTTGAGCGGTTCCGTCATGGTGGCAGGTGTTTGGATGTGTGTGTTAAGTCCTACAGGAGGACTAGGTTGTGTTGCTTGTTGTATTGGGTTTGCTATAGTTCGGTGTCAGCGAGGGCATATTGCTACTGGCACCCGGGTCTGGATAGGGTATATGACGATTTTCATAATGATGATGATTATGACGATGCTGGAGAGAGAGCCGGGACAATACCAACCTTGGGAAGTGGCAGTCAGGATTGACTACAGAATGATTGATGTGGTTGATCTGGGATGGAGTGAAGGAAGAGAAGAGAGGGGTAGGAAGAAGAGGGGAAGGAGCGCCTGTTTTGTATGCTGCGCTCAGGCAGTCGCAGCCAAGTGGTAAAACGAAGTACTATGTCGGAGGGGAGGGGTGGCCTACCTTGGTCTACCTGGGACGAGAGGCCCAGTACCACCTCGCTAGTGCTACATGCCAATACCTGCGCGATACTTGGATACCTGCGTGGCTACAGGCACGCATGTCGGTGCTGCTGCTCCAGCCAAGCTCCCGTAGGTACCGCCGGTGCTTCGTCCTCCCCCTGATGTCAGATGTAGTTCGATTGAGGTACTCGCCTATGGAGCCGACATGGTCCATGCCGTTTCTGGTACCCGCTCGGAGGGGCAATCGACCGAAGTCTCGGGGGTACCCCATACAAATCAGGCGATGGCACAGGTACCTGCCTCGCCTCTACGGAGCTCGCTGGCAATCTCGGCAGGGCCGTCAGGTCCCTCCGGCATTACCATGTGTGTGCATGCTATCTATCATGGATTCTATGTAGGTACGAGATCAGAGATCCAGAGCTACCATGCTGATTTACTGCTAAGCTCCCAGTGCCGGAGGTGCAGAGCCAGCGTGTTCCATGTTGGGGCGCAACCAGATCGCGTGACTCTGACTCGGAGCACTGGGGCGGGAGGGCCAGGTGACTTGCTCGGCGTCCCAGTGTACCTATTCCAGCGCGCAGCTCAGTAAGTCGCTGCACTACAGTGGGTCGGCGCTCTGCCTTAGCGCCGTCAGCCTGCAACCAGCTGTTTGCCGTCTGGGGCAGAATCCGGGGAAGCTTGTCGGAGGGACCCACAGCGCCGCAGGAGGGGCCAGTCGAAAATGCCTGCAGCCGTGGTCGAGATTGACGATGGGCGTGAGCAGATTTGGTGCGGTCGGAAGCATGTTTTTTTGGCAGCTTTTAGCCGTCTGCGAAGGTGTGACGAGCCTGTGTCGTGGAGGTGGTGTCAGTGACCTGGGTGGAGGGGAGGGGGAGCAGAGCACGTCGGGTGTGATGCAAGATCGTCTCGCTGCCCCTCCCGGAGCCGTCGGGTTCACTGATCCAACCATATCGTCGCTTCAACTGGGGCGCAAGGTTCATCCGCCAACTTAATGCATCAGGCACGGCACTGTGACAGTGCCATTGGCTGCTTTTGGCACAGTACTACATATCCTGCCGTTGGCACGGACACCGATTGAAGAGTCCCAGACGTTTGTGTACCGTGCGAATGCTCGCTTCCACCCCAGGACAGGTCAGCTTGCCAGACCAGTAAGACTTGCCTCTCCTCACAAATAGAGTTCACCTCGTTAGGTGTGGAATGACCGCCAGTAGCCACAGAGAACGGCCCGTCCAGCTGAGCTCAAGAAACACTAGGCTCGCCTCCAGGCACTGTACACCGGCCATGAGAGCTCATGATCACCCCTGGTTCTCTGGGTTGCCGCCAATCGGACAGACTAGCTTAGATCCCTCCCATCAACCCAAACCTCACGCGGATGCATAGATCCCTGGTTATAGCATCATGCTCTCTCATTTCACGGGAAGATGAGACGAGGCCCCTCAAGCCAAAGGCCTCGATCGGACATTTTCCCAGATGACTGCTGGCTGGGGTGGGATGGGCTTACAGTGCGAGCTCGAGCCTGCAGGAGGCGTGGTGATGCTGAGACCTTCGCCGTTTTCGATAGCTTCGTCATTCCGGCATCGCATCATAAACCACTCGTGATTGGGCTGGCCTGAGCAGATAGGCCATGGGAGTGCTGTACCCAGCATCCGACACCGACAAATGCTATGCTGTCGACCTCACAGTGTGCATTGCAGGTGGTGATGCGTCAGGCCACTTCAGCATGGCGAATCAGACGAGCAATGCCGGGCGAGCATTGCGTTGGTGGTACGACTGGTCACAGGAGGTGCATTTTCGTCGCGCCGGAATCTGATAAGCCCACCATCACCCCACCAAGCCCGCCACCGGAACTTGGCCCTGCAAAGGGCCAGACCAGACCTCAACAGCCAAGTAGTGAGTCATTGCAGCGGTAACAAGCTCAGCAAGCTCAACAAGCTCGATGATGCCATTCAATTAATTAGATTTGGGTTTCTTTTCTTGTCATTCCTCAGGGCCAGGAACCAGCCCTCGTGACTGCTCGGGCAATTGCGCTTGATTGACCCCGGCTCGACCCTCGCAAGCTCCCTAGTCAGCTGATCCATCCGAACCGGGTTTCATCGTGCCATTACGTCAAGAGCTATCCCAAGCTATCTCGACTTCTGATGGGGGATAATGACAACAATATGAACGCCATTTCAAGCAATTGGACTTGGTTAAGAAGCTAATTTCATATGTTCGATTCGTATCTGTCAGTGTTCATGATTGATTGCTTCTGTAATTATTGCCTGGGATCCGGTTCCATGTTGCGGCTTGCTCGTCTTCTCACGCTACTACCTTCCCCACTATAGCTACCTGTTCCAATCCCAGAATCAATCGGCGATCCTTTTTCCGTCCCATCTTCAGCTTCATCGTCTGCCTCAGCTCCTTCCACCGGAATCTCTGAGAGAAGCTTTGACGACCCATCGTCGTCCTCATCTTTCACCACGGGCTCAGTTTTCACAGCAATTGAAGCTCTGGACGGTTTCACTGAGCTCCACTTACGCTCAAACTCCGACTCTTGCTCTTCCTCTTTCTTGACAGTCCCGTGGAACTTTTCGCCTTCCAAGTAAGGTCCTGACGATTCAGGAGACGAGCTCATTACAAGTCCCCACAGCCCCCAAGTCCCAGCCATGAACAGAATCTCGCAAAGCCAAAATAAGGATGTGAATATGATATACATGGGGATCCGATAATTATACATCAACCCTCTGAGCCCTCGAAGCTGGGCAGTGAAGTTGAGCGCCGCCGTGTAAGTTTGAAGAGACTGGCCAGCCTCGATTTCGATATACGCCGAAGCCGGTAGGTCCCCATCGCTCGGGAAAGAAACGTGCTCGGCCAGCGGGATGTCCATCGTGCAGAACAGGGAGCTGGGCACAAACATGTGATACAGGACGAACAGGGCGCGCGACGTCAATGACACAAAAGGGTCGACGTAGGGCATCAGAGCGGTTCGGCGAGTGCTGAAGACGATTTTCTGGCCTTGAACATGATTGCGACTATCTTCGAGGAGTCGGGTAGGGTCATTCAGATTCGAGCTGATGTCGGAGCGAAGTAGGTGCAGGCTGACCATGAAGTTCCCTCGTTCGAGATTGGGAGGCGATCGAGGCAACGTCAGAGTGACGGATACATCGTAATCTTGCGCTGATTTCAGAACGGGAGACGTGAGAGACACGAGACCATAAGGGTTTAGGCCCGATCTATTGCCGAGGGCGAGCGTGAGTTAGCAACGCGGGGGAAAGTCAACGGCAGGTTGCCCACAGGAACAGCAGTGCGCCATACCCATACTGAAGATGAACAGGAGTTGTGAGAAATCGATGCGGTACGTAGTTTTGGAAGAATAGAGCGGTTGCGATCGCAGCGAGGCCGAGGAGGGTCGTCGCTCCGGAGATGAGGATGGCGGTGTTGACGAGGGCTCGCCGAACGGGTTTGGAAGTGGCGACGCGAAATGACTCCTGGAGCGTGTTCTGCGAATATTATGAGCTAGTTACACCTAAATCGGTTTGGGTTTCTGTTTGTATACCATTGTGCGTGCAGGTAGGCCATTATTCCAAAGATTGGTAAAGCTTGTGACGATGTGTGGATAATGATCTTTCGAGGCGGGTTGGATTTAGTTCGTTGATTCTTGTCGGGTGTTAATTAGACGTCATTCCATATCAGGCATGTGCCAGACCCACACCTCGGTAGGTACGTACCGACGACTTGAACGGTGCTCGGGTTATTATGGAGTAGCAAACATTGCCAGGTCTTTTAGATATGCTCAGGCTGGATGGGATGAAGAAGGGCATCAGATAGGGAATCCAGGGAGACGCGTCGGATGTATTGTAAGATATGGATGAATATGAAGAAGGGAAAATGAAGGGCAGTGTCCATCACTGTATGGTGTTCTCACTGATGACTCTACCCAGTGAAGACCATCCAGACTAATGTAAAGGAAGAGGCAAAGGAATAGTACCAAGGCCCTACTTTTTAAAGATTCGAGACTACGCGGCAGCACATACGATGCTGCATTCTAAACTCACCAGATGGAACAATTCGTCGAGCATCAATGTAGGCGAATGTGTCTTAGTTATACTCAAGTGAAATGATTCCTAAAAGGTCGAATGATTGCCCGGAATGTGGCTTTAACTACATTGCGTAGCATTAAATATCAGAAAACAATTGGTTATTCAGATCTTTGATCTGGTATCACTCACCAACGGCATATGATAGCAAGGTGTCGTCCCTACTAGCTCCATAAGGATCCTTGCCTGGACAAAGTGGGAGGATAAGAGCAATCAAGGATGTGCCAAGTAGTCGGGCTATGGAAGCGGTACTGCCGAGCTGGGGCAGTCTGCCTTGGAATATGCCTTGTGAGCATGCTTGGCAGATAGCCATCTCTAGTTTTATAAGTGGCACTTCCCAGTGCCGTCGAGAAGAGATGCGTTTCGTTCCTTGTTCGCTCCCGTTCTCAAGAGATTTTCCTTTTCTCATTTGCCAAATCCCTCCGGTCCTGCTCACCAAACGTGGACTGGCGCAGGTTTCGATTGGGTTTTCATGCCTTGCTATGCGAGGAGCTGACGCGCGTACTCCGGGCCAGGATCATATGTGATGGGGTAGTCTCTGACAACAGCCAGAGCCAAAATGGCGATGGATTTGGGACAATTTGGAAGCTGAAAATGCGCTGAAAATGCCATTTTCTCACCTTGCGAGCTTGGTTCTCGGTGAAGGGCCAAAAGCGCACCTGACGGTCTTTCCAGAGGCCAGAGGTCTTGTCAAACGGTAGGTGCCGCTCATCCATCTTGGACTCATCTTGAGCGGGTGGCTCCAGCGCAGTCCCCATGGCCCCTGATCTAGCATGAAAGGGGTCCATTATCCTGGCTGTGCTGGCCGCAAAGAGCAAGTAGCGCTGGCCGACGTGCGACTACGTGCATGCTCGCCAAGGTTGGAGAAATTCGATTCGTCACCCGTGGCGACTTGGACAGACGGGCGCGCCCCGCTCATTACGCACCCTCTATGGGGCCTGCTGCAAGCCCTCAGTCGCGTGGATGCGTCCGAAACTCAACCCGACCAAAGCCCAGCGCCCACAGACCCGGACCGCGCACCTAAAGCTTGTTGGCTCCTGGGTCCATCCTGGTCGGTCAGCGTCGAAGCCATCTCGAATTCCCACCTCAGCGCGGTATATCTGCCTCATCCACGACACCGCCGGGCCTTATCTCCTCCCAGATCCCCACCGGTTGGGTCTCTTCTTCTGCTGATCCCGTGCCCGCGATCTCTCTGCTGGCGGCCTCTTGCTTTGGTTTGCCTGCTGTTGCCCAGTGCTTTGCCGTCCATGGATGTCATGCCTTTCCCAGCTGGGTAATTACTAACCTTCCACACGCAATCACTAATGCGGAGTGCCCGCCGCCGGACTTTCTTCCCATCGGCTAGAGTTCGTACCTTGACGCGCAACCCTTCCACACCTGGTCAACGTCACCCATTTTTTCTACTCTCTTTTCTCTGCAACTTCCCCTCGCTGCTGGCCTCTTTTTAGGGACCTCTCCTTAGCAATTCAAATCACATTCTTTTGCCGGTGATGCAAGCTGGTTGTCTCTCCTTTTCTCCTCTCGCTATGCAAGATCCGTCCTGCGGGAGTCTTTGCGGGTCTTGGGAATCGATTGGGACAGGGCTTTCGGCACACTTAACCATGGTCAGACATGCCACGCCAAGATGACCTTGAGTCTGACTCCAGACCTGGGCCTCCCCAAAGCCAAGTTCTGATCAAGCCGCCTCTGCCGACTCTTGCTTCGTCCCGATCATCCAGGGAAAATTCCATCGAGGTCCAGCTGCCGCCTCTGATATCCGGCACCTTGATTACGGCCTTCTCGGCCGCCGTTGCAGACGCATTGGGCAATGAGCTTATTACATACTACTACCTTCCGGATGAAAGGATCAAAATCAACCTCGACATGGTTGTTGAACGAATCATCTCAGATTTCGTCAAGAATATTTGGGACGAACTTTTTGAATTTTACCAGGCATCAAACGCCGAGCACGGGAACCAGGTGACCCGCCTGTTCGAGGGCCCCATCAGACAGATTATCCTCATTTTATACGGCCCAGAGGTGTCAAGATGCATTTTGGAAAGAATTGGCCCGGGCCTATCCCGTCGGCCACTCACATGGACCGACACAGCGCGAGGTGTAGATCCCTCGCTTGCATTACAACTGATATGCGGCTACTGGCATCGCAACTTTGCCTCCAGGTCACCTGGAGGCAACCCCGATGACATTGCTCGCTCTATCGGCTCACGCCTTCTTTCAGGCGAATCATTCCGGACCCTAGTGTCCAAGTTCAAAAAAACATTATATACCCCCCACCTAGTCCAAGTTCACCTCATGGAGTCGACCATATGGGAAGTTACGCTAAAAAGACGCCAACGTCCACCTACTGATGGCTTTCACCTCTTCCAATTCCGGTTCGAATTTGATGCATCTCAGAGGTTTTTCTCCCCTGGCAACCCGTCGGACTCGGGGATTAAGGAAATCCCCGTCATAACCGGTACTGCAGAGGAATGCGGTTGGGCCACGGTCAGAGATTACACACTAGGATATTGGCCCAGAACCGGTGGAGTCGTCCTTGAATATCTGGAAAAGGCCATGGTCGAGGCTAGGCAATCTCATCTTGAAGGCAGGAGCTACACGGCCATGTCATTTTGGGAGAGCAGCAACCCATCAGAAGCAGCCCTTTACCCTGGATTACGCCTCCTACACTTCGAAATCGAACCCGGCGCTATCCGTGTCACTGTATCCGCTTGGGTTCAGCCCATGATAGATGTTTTGCAACAGCTGGCATGGACCTGTGCAGCTTTAAGCTCTTCGCCGGTCCCAGATGGCGTCGTCGAGTGCAGAACGCGGATATCTAGTTGGGAATACGATCACGACCTTGTGCGCGTCAATTTAGGTCTACTACATAAAACAGCCCCGGAGGCTGGTACAGTATCATGGCTCCGCCAAAATGGGGGCGCCGTAATATCGAGTGGTTTCCCCGTCGGAGAACAAAGTACATAGCATACAGCACATAACAGATACATAATAAAATTAGAATGGAACCATCGAGACTTTTAAGAATCTGACTCTCCATGCCCTTTGTTCAATTTCAAAATAACCTTAATTTTTGTCTATATATAAGTAGCGTGTAAGGTTTCTGCTTTTGAACCCAATGTTTTCCTACCCATCTCTCACCACAACACTCTGCGTCATTTTGCCAGCGATCAATAACTCCCCGAAATATCCAAGATCATGTACTACAAATTCTTCTAATCTCCAGGAAATTAGCATGTGAAGAAGATAGTTCACTACAAAGATCAATCAAAGAAATAAAGCCGCCACCCCGGGAGGACTTTAAGAGCTTAAACTTAGCCGTCTGGGATGTTAGTTACCCCGTTCTTGACCAGGTATCAACAGGGATTCATCATTCGCACTCACTCGCACCCGAGGTGCCGCTGCTCCACCTCGAGGAATGTGGGGGTTCCTGGCTCAGGGAGGGAGCCGACGGTGGGAAACCCGTTCGCGCAATGATGTCAACGATATCTCAAGGCATCTCCCTGTTGACCGGGGAGGGGATCGCTGGTTTGGGAAGAGCTGAGGCCCGTGTAAGCTGGCTGCAAGTACGAATACAGTATTGACTACAGCATTTACGCAAGGCGACCCCACTACTTAAGAAGCCCTTCAGCTTCGAGGAGCACAGTATTATCGGAGAAGAGTCGTTGGTTTTGAGAACGTTGATGCAGCCCTGTTACGCCATTTGGTTATCAATGAGGCCTCCAACGCACTCTGGGTATCAGCATTGGGTGATGGAGTACAATCGCTCCTCCCGTCAGCTCTTATTATATAACTCTAGACAGAACCACCAAACCTTCTAGTGAGAAGATCTCTCTCTTCGATTTTGTTCACAAAATCTTCCTCCAGATGGTGGATTAAACAAATCTTCTTACAAACTCGGGTTAGCAACTTGTGTGCTACACAATGTCAAGGGTGCGGGTCAACACCATAACCCAGGGTCTGTCCACCGTACCTGGGGTCAGCCAGTTTTCAACGATTTGCGGCAAATGGAGATTCCCAGAATCTCGAGCTTATTATGCCTATTTAACTTAGCTGCCATTTTTTATCCCTCGCAAGATATACACCGATGTAAGCTACTGTTATATAAGAACTACGTTGCTATCGAGAGAGAATGAACAACAAGCGGTAAGTAGGAGAACAATGGTTCTTAGGCCTGAAACACAAGTGTGATGCGAGCAACGTATCCATGAAATTGATGTTCGCATCATGAGGCATGAAAATAAGGCCAGCCAATTAATGGCAATACATACACAGGAGGAGATACATTAGGACGTCGTATGTGCCCATGCAAGTCAGCAGCCAGCCTTGGTCAGGAGGAGTCTGGCCAATTATCACATGCAAATCCGATCCCTCAACAATATCGCTCCCCCAACATGAACGCGTCAACATGAAGAAGGCTGTGGTGAAACATCAAGAGGCGAAATCTCGAGGAGATCCGGTTGAAGTGTGGCGCGAGCTGTGGCGCGCAACGGCAGGCGCAGAACAATTGCCCACACTCCCCCACTATGGCACTATCCGAAGCGCTAAACGAAGGTTGCGCAGGGAAGTTGATGACGTCGTCTGTGGCGCTCCGCCACCATCTTGGCTCAGTGAGCACATGTTGGAGAGGGGTTACATACGTACATAATTACGTACCGCAGCAGCACCCCCAGGCTGCCAGCATAATTGGGAGGGTGGGTAGCTGGGTAGCTGTACAGTAGCGCGATAGGTAGGTCATTTTATCAGAAGACGTGTCTTGCGTGCTCTTAAAACAAGGCCCTCCTTGCCCCTTGCATCCACTTTCTTCAACACTTCTACTATACATCTCTCGTACCTCTTTTTTCCTCAGACCAAACCTGCAGCAGTCCCTTACCCCGCCTCAAGAAATAACATCCATATCCTCCACCAGAATGGCTTCCAACAGTGTTCACGTCACCAACATCGCTTCCGCGACCAGCGATAGCGAGATCAAGGACTTCTTCAGCTTCTGGTAGGTACCCAAGTTTATCCCCCGCCACGCGTGTCAATTCGTGACTGACCCTCCATCTACCCCTCTCTAGCGGAAAGATCACCGACATCAAGGTTACAACTGAAGGCGAGACCAAATCCGCCAACGTTAGCTTCGAGAAGGAGACTGCCGCCAAGACTGCCCTTCTCTTGAACAACACCCAGCTCGGTTCCAGCCACATCTCCGTCACAAGCCCCACCGGCAGCGTTGAGGACGATGGCTCGCATTTCACCAAGAACGCAGACCGAGACTCGGACGAGATCACTCAAGAAGAGAAGCCCCGCGCACGCATTCTCGCCGAGTACCTCGCACAAGGCTACGTAGTCGGTGACGCCGCGATCCAGCGCGCCCTTGAGCTCGACAACACCCACGGCGTTTCGAGCCGCTTCCTCAACACCATCCAGACTCTGGACCAGAAGTACCACGCCACCGACCGCGCCAAGGCCACTGACCAGACCTACGGTCTCTCCAACAGGGCCAGCAACCTTTTCTTCGGCCTAAACTCGTACTTCGAGAAGGCCACCAACACCCCAACTGGCAAGAAGCTCGCCAAGTTCTACGAAGATGGTCAGAAGCAGGTACAGGAGGTCCACACCGAGGCCAGGCGTCTAGCCGACCTGAAGAAGGACCAGCACGGCGGCAGTGCCTACAAGGCTTCCGGTCTCGAGAGGGTATTCGGAAAGGAGAAGGAGCCCGAGGTGAAGCACGCTGACCCCGCGACCGCGCCCGCAGGGGACTTTGCCCCTCCTCCTACTGCCCCTCCTGCCACCGGCACCACAAACCCCACGCAGATCAACCCCAACGACCCCATTCCTCCGGTCAAGGCGACGGACGAGAAGACTTATCTGGCGTAAAATCTCTCTTCTTCGTTATAGTCTGCTTTAATTCCTATGCTTTTCGTTTTCTCTTTGGCGACGATTTCTACGAATGATCATGATGAGAGCATGCAGCAAGGGTCCGTTCCGTAACGTGTGTGGATAGCAATTCAAGAATCCTAAATTTTGCGATAAATAATCATGGTGACTATGACGGATTTTCTTTAAAAGTAATAAGTTTCTATCCACTACTGTAAAATAAACGCAAGTATGGTTGTCGATGATGTCCCTGTACACGACCATGAGGATATTTACCCTATATCATCAATGTCACATCGTAATCATCACCAATCGAGAATCTGGTCACCAATCGAGAATCTGGATAATTCTCAACTTTGCATTAATTAAGTATCGTAGATATGATTCTAGCTACATCCTCTGTTGAAACTAGATCACGTTCCTGCCAATTGGGTTCCCTGTCTCTTTGGAAAACTTGGACTCCAAAGCGTCTTCCATCGGACCCTTTGGGTTTGATTCAAGCCTCTGCATCACAATGATTAGCCGATTGAAAAAAAAAAAGCAAAGGATTGGCTTATAATAAAAAAAAAAAAAAAAAAAAAAAAACATACATCGATCTCAGCCTTAAGCTGTTTTTCTTTGGCCGACCAGTCCTTGGATTTCGGGTTAGACTCGGGGGCGTTCTTCGTTTGACTCCCGACTTGCTTGCCGGACTGGCGCTCAGGTGGAGGGGATTGGCGGCCTTCAGGCATTTTTGCAATAAATTATACTGATGGAGATGAAGGTGTGAAATATTTTCTGGATGTAAGATTGGAATGCGAGGTTGAGTGACATTTGAAGATTTATCTCTGCAATTTTGGTGTTATATATTATCTGGGGCCTGGAAGTTAGTAAGAACTACGTGATTGACCGTTTATATCGTTGTCGTCATAGGCCCATGGGTTACATCACGCTTTCATCGCCCCCCTCTCGAAGCGATCGAGATGAAGCGATAGCATGGAATTGAAAAAGTATTATCCGGTCCAAAATATTCGGGTTATGAACTGTGTGGCAATGGCCAGAAGTGCCTTTGGCGGACGCCTACTCAACACCCATCATATCTCCGAGAAAGGGATCGCATGTCAAGTTCAAGAATAGATAACTGGTGTAGATTCAACTGCAACTAATTGAATTTCAGCCAGACTTTTTCCCCATTGGCCGCCTTTTGTGGCCTATAACTCAGAGTTCATTGTTGGCCAGCCAATGTTGTTGGGCAATGTTGTGTGGCAGACTGGAAGGTGTCCGGAAAATGATATTCTTGCCAAATCTTGACCAAATTGAGAGGGCTCTATGCTGCTATCATTGATAGCTAGCGCTCCATAGGCGCGAATGGTTATGGTTACCCAAATGTCGTGATCGCAGGTTCACATGTCTTCCTCGCCCCAAGCAACCCATCAGCAGGTCCACCAAGCCTATTCTATGTTCTGCTCTTGTATCTTGTGTTAAAATTTGGCTGTTGTATGGACAGGAAACATTGCCTAAATTAATTGTCGTATTTCTTGTTGTGAGGTCGCCTAAAACGCTGCCTAATAGTAAGTAGGTATATATCTTTTTCATATCTTGCTCCCTTGTCTTCCATTTACATCCAGCTACCTGAGTGTGAACGGAAGGAACGTCCGTGATAGGTATTGTGTGTTTTGTTTTGGGGTCGGCTATATAAGCCCCTCCCCCTTCCTCTCAGCTCTTCCCATCCTCTTCTCACTTCACCCTCCCTAGGCCATCCCCCCTCACCCTTACCCTCACCCTCACCCTCACCCTCACTCTCTTAGCTCCTCGCCTCACCCTTCCCTCCCCCATTTATTCATACCAAAGCATTAAAATTTATAATCAAAGCTTCCACCGCCTGGTCTCGCTAACATGGATGGTGACGAAACAGACTACGAAAATATCTCTTCCGGTGATAGTGAGGCTGATGAGCATGAACAGGACCTGGCAACAGAACCTGGTACACCAGTTTCTCCAGGATCCAACCCCGAAAACCCTCTTTTTGTAGACGATGCTCCTAACTTAGCCGACGAACCCCCTCTCTTCGTTGAAGACGTCCCTCTGTTTATCGAGGAGGTGACTGATGGGGATTACGTTAACGATGACGATGGACAGACAAATGGGAGCCAAACCAGCAGCAATGAGTCCGAGTCAGATGAAGAAACAGACTCTCAAGGGGATGCTTCATCCGAAGGGCAAGGTCATAACAATGTCTTTGACTCAGACGCTGAAGAGCCTGTTTGGAGTTTGCCGCATTGCCAAGAAGTCTGCCAACCACAGTGGCAAAGGATCCACAACAAATCCTACAACAGAAAGTGCAGAATCATACGGCTCACACAGGCATACCGCCGAGTCCTAAGGGAGAATCGTGAGCTCCAAGCAGAAGTCGAGGACCTCAAGGCCCGCTTGGCGGTTCGTAGGCAAGCTCGCGGACGTTACAAGGCGGTAAGTATATACGCATTCATTGCAAATTCCCAACAGCTTCGAGATTGCGGAGTTTCTCTGACATTCTCAATAGACATGGTATGAGCTTTATCGCCTACGAGATAGAAGGGAGAATATGCCGAACGGGAGGGCTATCTCATGGGCAGCAATCTACAAGAAATCTTGCCTCGAAGGGAACATGAGCCAAATCCTCACTTTCGTCCACCCGAGACTTAAGTTGAGGGCGCCATATCCTCGAGATGAACAAATCACACCCCGTACTGTGGGGGAGCGTTTCGTCTTTTGGGCTCGTCTCCCAGCAGGCGTTCAATTAGAGGTTCTCCGACATCTTCTAGTTTTCACAGATGGCCCGGTTCACGCCATCTCTAGACTTGACCCTTTTAAAGAACCCGAGGAACTGCCGCGGAATTGCCTGGGGAAAATCAGCTACTTGCATCGCTTTCATGTTGGGATTAGATCCGTGAGCTTGACATATGCTCTCGACCCCCATGAGGTCTTGGCTCCGCTGGGAGTGTGCAAGAAGTGGAACACATGGGGTTGCTACCTTTTCTACGGTCAGAATACATTTGCCTTCTCCTCGCTGGGCGAATAGGGTCGCTTTGCGAAGGGGATCGGCTCACGACTCCAGCGTGTCCAGTATATTTCCCTTCTCTGGAAGGGATCCCAGTATCTTACCTTCAAGCCTACAGAACGTGGCCATTGGTCGTCTCGGCGTACTCATCCACTGCTTTGGCTGAGCGAGGCAAAGCGGCTGCTGAACGTGGAGTTTTTCCTGCAGGAATCCCATCCCGAGGTCATGAGACGAAAGCACGAGCCTCGGGCACTCATCGACCACATGGCTGAGAAGACGAATCTGCAGCCAAATTACAGGCTGCACAGGGACCTGCGTACCTTGCAGGGCCTCGACTACATTCTTTGTCTTCGGGGCTTGAAGAAGGTCGACTTTTTCGATTTCGATAGATGGAAGGCCGATGGTGTGATCGAGCAGGTCCGTGATTACCGGTTTGTCATGGATGTCAAGAACAATGTCTCCCGCCCAAAGGCACCCCACGAGGCTGAGACGTCGGAGATACGAAACCTCGCGCCTACAGTGCCCGGTCACGTTATGGAATCCGGTGACTGGGACGCCTTGGAGCGCTTCTTGACCAGGCATTTCGGCATCCGGACTGGGCAGATACCGCTCCAGCGTGGGTACGCGCCTGTGAGAGTGCACCCCGTTAGCACATTCATTGTCATCGACAGCGACAGCGAAGACGGCTCCGATGCTGGCTCCAGCGTCCGTTTCGGTTCCGGTTCGGGGATTCTGGAGGAAAGACGAAGCACAGGCAGTGTCACCTCGGCCATGGAGGATGAACACGACGGCAGCCCTGGTTCCGAGGAGCCAATGGCCAGTACAGAGAACGATGCCGAGTCTCTCGATGAGGTCATGGACTTTGACGTTATTGACCCGGCAGATGATGAGATGAGCGATGATGAAGATGAGGATGGTTTTGGCGATCCTATGGACTTGGGAGAATAAAGTAGCGAGTTTTCCGGGAAACATTTCTTTGACTGGCGAGGTGAAGTTGAAATTCTGGGACGGTTTATTTGGGAAATGGTCATTTTGACGGAAAAGCATTCTCTAGAGTTACAGTCGGTTTACGGAGACGCATAGATTAGTGGGATTTTCTACAACTCGGGACTTACGCAAAACAATGATGGATTGGGAGAGCATGGAAAATCTAGGTATCCTATTGCTAGCGAGGATACAAACTTGAGCTGCCTACTAGTACTTTTTTAAAAGACTCAAATTGAAAGTTGCATGGAACCCCTTTACAATTATTGGACTGCAGAAAATATACATGTATGGGCCAATATACAAAGTATGCCCGCAAAAATACCAAGTGACAACGCTGGCCGAAAACATATACGACAGAAAGTAGGTAGTAAGAAATAGTAAGAGAAGGGATTGCCGAAGCGCTCAGAGATTCTTCTCCCTCTCCTCGGCTTCTTCAGCATCTTCTTCGGCACTCCAATCTCTCCACCCCTGACCTCGGATCCAACTCACGCCCTTCCTCCACTGTCCTTCGCGAATGGCTCGAGCATCGCGCTCATAAACCACTCCCGTGACCATAAGTGCGAGAACGAAGACCCAAACGTCTCCGCTCTTCATAGACTTCCACCATCGCCTCTTGACGCCTACTTTCCAGAAAGAGTCCACGCTCACTCTAGCGCTGTAAAGAAAGACGCCACGGCCATGGCGTCGCTCTACCCAGGCCCAGAGGCCAGCAAAGAACCCACCAAGGAAATATCGCTGAGTGGCAAGAACGTGGCGGGGAAGATAAGTTTGGAAGAAGCAAATGGATGCCCAGGCAGTTGAGAGCGCACCAGTGGCAAAGGTGGACATGCGGAGCGCAGAGGCAAGGATAGAATTAATGGTCGCCAGAGGGGAGTGGTAGAAGGATTTGAGTTGAGGAACAACCGTCATCGCGGAATAGAACAAGAGAAGAATACGCGTCAGAGGTGGGAACGTGTTGATCCAGAATGTGAGATATGTCCGTAGACAGGACGGGTCGGAAGGATGTAAGGTAGCGCAGGAGAGAGAGCTAATGAGAGGGTGTGCTCTTGATGTTAAAGGAGCGAGGCTCGCAAGTGACGGTGGGAGAACTTTCTCTTTGGTAGGAAAAAGAGTTGGCGATATATATGCCCTATCGACAAGTATGGTTAGATGGTGATTTTAGGGGATGAAGGATTAGGCGCAAGTGTGAAGCCAACTTACGGCCAAGATAAACGAGCCATCTCGGCTAGGCTATCAACTATTTGGTCCATCGCTGGCCATTTCAAATGCTGAGGCCAGTCTTGTGGACGAGTTTGCAGATATCCAGCGGATTGGCTCAGGACTAGCTTGCTTAGAGGCTGAAATTGGAATTAGTCAATGGGTTCAGAGTTCAGAATCTGGAAGCTTGACATACCTCTGGGAGACAATCGCGGTCAAAAATGAAGGCGTGGAAAAGCTGGCCGAAGGCCACTGGCTGCAGCATCCAGCTTCCAAACCACCAAGGCCTCTCCCTTCGGCGACCATTCTTGACACCCCATATCAATCCTTCCGCTTCACAGGCATTCCATCCAAACTCGAGGGCGCGGAATAAGCTGTATATGGCAATGGTGACGCGCAACTGCCGGCGAGGATATATACCTAATGCAAGTCCTGCGAAAGAGGCTCCTAAGGCGGGGGCATAAGGGGAGGTAAGGGTTGCAGCAGTGCGCGGGTTGCGAAGGCGAAAAGGCTCGACTTCGGGCTGGAGAAGATGAGTTCGCAGGCGAGTAAGGAAGCGGAAGAGCCACCTGTATAACAGAAGAATAGCAGACAGCGAAAGCGACATTCTTAAAGCCGGAGAGCTGTAAAAAGGCTGCTTCTTCGAATTGGTAGTCGCCCTATACCTTGCTTGTTAGCAAACCGTGTAAGGATTGTCGTCTGTGTTGCTAAGTAAGTTCAACTTACTCCTTGTCCTTGACTTTCCGGGCCACAGCATCCCAGCCTTTCATACCCAGCCAGGATATGGCAAAGACACGCAGAGCATGGCGCACCGCCCTGGCATTGTAATCATCATTGCCTTTCCGAGGCTGAAGGGCCTTGTCGACGTTGGCTGGGGTGGGTGCTGCGCGGCGGAGTGCCTTGGATCGTGAGAGAATGTACTTGTGCAAGGCGGCATATTCGCGGGCCGAGACTGTATATCGCAAGGTGTTGCGCAAGACAGGGTCGAGGTCCGCATTTCCTCTGGCTGAGGATACTCTTCGCCCTTCCCTGGGGGGTTCTTGGGAGCCGCTAGGAGATGACATGCTGATGTGCATGCATGAACTCTGCAGGCATAAATAGAGGGGGAAAACCAAAAGGGGCCAGAGCCTCGTGCGGTCGAGGGTATACAGCGGTACTCTAATGGGAGTGAAGGTGCGATGCCTTGGGAAGAAGAGCCATTCGGGTATCGTCGAATAGGTGGTCGGCACCCAAACTGTGAGAAATGCCCAGAATAACGGCGCGCGCGCGTTGAAGAATGTAGGAGTCGGTTGCGACGTATCTAGCCGGGTTCAGATGGCTTGCGAGGCCAGATGGTATCGGTGCTGTGGATTGGCCTCGACATGGATCGGCGAGGGGATACGATGGGAAGAGGGCGGGATGGTGGATGGGAGGATGGATGGTCAGCTGGATGGTGAAGGAAGCATGGGAATTGGCTCTTTCCTGGGAGACTGCGTCGCGCACAGGAAACCTCGGCTCCATATTAATACCACATGCATGCCGAGCTGGAGTGTTTAATTGTGGTGGCCTTGCAGGGGTGTGATGCAAGCAACTGATAGGTGATAAGAAATGATATAATGGCAGCAATTGTGGGGTAATGGGGAGGGGCCGCGCTAGTCTATGTACATTATTCAATCCTCGGCATCATATATCACCAATTGATGCAGGTAATGGCCTGCAATGGGCAATTAGCATCAAGAGCTGCTGTCCAAATCAGTGATGGAAGAAGCTCTGTGTTCCAAGGACTGAACAGCCAGCCCAGTTGGCAGCGGCCATCCCGGTTTTGGCAGTCAGTGCTCATGCATGCATTCCAGCTAATGGGTCACACGTCCAAGCGCGAAGGATCATCCAGCTCAGCGGGCAAAGTATGCATTCATCATCGTCTCTTGGTCGTCATATTCAGTATCAAGCTACCCCTATCTGCTACAATCCAGGTACCCTAGGGAATATTTCCAGTACTGTCCTATTTTGTTTTGGGGTTGTTTTTTACTCTCCATGTCTTAAAGCCATATGTCTGCGAAGTTCATAATCGCAACGTCTTCTTCTGCCATGTTAACCTGTAGATACTCACGCGCCTTTTCCTCCTCACACGGTGTCCCATACTCCTGTTTGAGTCTCTGACGTTAAGTTGTGAACCGAGATCCACACTCCCATCAACTCTTCCTTCGGGGTTTATTGCTCAAAATAGCGATATTTCCCGGGTCTTTTAGACTTGGGAAACCGTCTAGATTGAAATTGAATGCCCTTCCAAAGATCAAGTTCGTTGTCTGATTCATGCAAGCCCCAAAGCTTGCTGTCAGACCATAAAGCTTCCGCCAAAATATCGGGGATGCGCCAAAACTCGCCAAAATCAATATTCGTGTCGTCGTGTCACTAACTGTGTCGCCGCTAAAAAGCTTGACTGCAGTCCAAGGCGATTCAAGTCAAAGTAGTACAAGAGGGAAGCCCAGTTTGGACGAGTGTGGCAGCCGCGTGGAGCGGAGGGCTGCGTTCTTACTTGGTTCCTAGAAGCCACACCGATCATGCTTGTTCTCATGGGAATTCTGCTCCGTTGCCACTTGGGGCGCTCTTCAGTGGTGTCCACTGACGGCTGAGGAAGAGGCCGTCAGTGTTTCCACGCGTAGAAATTTCTTCGTGCCATCCCAGAGCACTCCATACGGGAATGCGGGGCTCAGGGCTTCGTAGGCTTTCTTGAATGAGGGTACTATCTGGTACATTGCCAGAGATGACAGCCTCAAGTGCTCTCAGTCGGCGAGCTTCCCGTTCCCCTACAATCTCCTGAACAAGTCGATACCATGTTCCCGGATTTGTCCAACCACGGCCTGTCTCAGGTCCACCCTCAATTAACATCTTGAGGAATCCGAATGGAAGGTTGAGCAACAAACGAGAGAGGAGAGTGTCCGAAGCTTGCCGATGGCCATCATTGCTCCGCTGGATATCAGGTGACTGGCCACCAGGGACATCAAAGTCGCCGAATTGAATGCTCCGATGGCTCCTAGCGTGCACACCCTTGGCCAAATGCGTGACAGAACTTCCGCGAGCAATGACCGGAGAGTCCACAGGAGACGAAGCTGCCTTGGGAGCAGATGCTGAATCGAAAGGCAAGCGGGCGTACGTGCTAGGGTCGATTGTAACCAAGGTATCGAGACTGAACATTGGATGAAGGTTGTTGACGATAAAGATCACAGTCGCATGGAGTAAGGCTCTCGAGCCATTTCCATATTTGAATTCTTCATACGCGCCTTTGTCGCAATAACCCTCGAGGGCGAACTCCAAAGCTTTCTCAACTGTCGTAGCGTCTAGAAGCTGGGCTGCAATATCGCATCCGCGCTGAACTACAGGACCCCATCCCAGAATGTGTCCAGCAGCTGCATAGGACAAGGCGAAACGAAATCTTTCAGCCAATGATCCGGCAACAGTGGTATCCTCCGAGTCCATTCCTCGATTCGGACGAGGAGCCTGGAAAAGCGGATAGCCATAAATGTTCTGAACAGCGATGTGGAAAGAATCGGCCCGGATCCAGCGGTTATCTGTCTCTATTACAAGGGGCTGGAACCAGGTTTGGTCCATTGGGCCAGGTCGCAGATTCTGTGCATGAATTAGATCCTTCAGTATGGGGCTGCGCGACAAAACTAGACGATGGGCCGGAATCCCTCTTGGCATGGGAATTCCATTGAGGTGCCGGACCTCGAGGAGGCAGTCAGCGAACTCAGGAGAACCGAAGTGTTGCTGCGCAAGGATTATCAGGCCTTCAGCTTCATCGGCATGAGAAATCATGCCAGGGGGCGGCATGTAATGGGGAAGCAATCCGGCATGATCACCAAAGGCTCTTCCCTGAGCATCGATCGGATGGATGCCATCTACAAGAGTAGATACACCATTAGGCGGGGCTTGTTGGTACGAGAGGCCATCTTCTTGAGTCATCGACGAATGGGAATCCTGGTAAGCGTGAGTTGTGGGCGAGTGATAATTCTGGTTCGGGTCCAGGGGGCTAAAGGCTATGTTCGGTCGGCCATGGTTGTTGAAGCCAGCTAGTGGCAGAGGGCTTCTTCCAGGGGCGAATCCCAGAGGAAAGTTGGCCCTGTCTGGAGAGACAAAGGGCTGCATTCCGTTTGGGGGATGCATTCCGGGTGGAGGGGCTATGCCTCCGAAATGAGGTGCTGGAGAAGAGCTGGTCGAGCCACCAAAGGATCCAAGATGTGCGCTACCGTTTCCAAGGTGGACTTGGGCAATATTGATGTGATCCTGCGAAAGGTTTCCTTGAGCGGCCCCGTTGGCGGTTCGAGTAGGGTGCCTATGCCTGGTCTGAGAGCCTGGAGGCTGCTGGTAACGGGCCGGTGAGACTGGCGGGAGTGGGCGTGGCATCGTGAATCCAGAGTTTGGCTTTCCTGCTCGCAGCTGTCAGTAAGACGGTAAAGGGACGTTGGCTAGAATAGGGTGCAACTTACCTTCGTCTGCATACATCTGCTGGTTTTGGCCTACTCCATTCGCATGCCCATCAACACCTGCTTTCTGGGAGACATCTGCTTGCATCTTGGTATGAAGAGGTAGGGAGCGCTCCGTATTGGTAGTATCGCGCAAGTTCTCGGCACCCTTCGACACCGATTTCTCGGCTAATTCATGGGCTAGTCAGTATACGTAAGAAGGTTGGAGAGAAAGTTGGAGAGGAAGGGCTGTGGCAAGATATACCGAGCGACGAGTTGTCTGAAACAACATCTGAGCCAGCGGACTTTGGCTTAGCTGGATCAGAGACCAGATGGACCGAGCCACTAGCTGAGCTCCGTGGTGACTCAGCCTTCGGCGGGTTTGCCTCAACAGCTTGATCGGTTTTCGCTGTCAAGGACGATGTACTTGGAGGTTTGGCATCGGCCGCGGCAGCCTGGCGTCTGACATGAGGCAAAGGGATGGCAGGCACCACGGCCCTACCGGATTGCTTGGGGTTGGCCGTCTGCCTAGACTTTCTTGTACTTGACGGTGGAGCCATGACGGCAAGCGGAGCGCAAAAGTAGGGTGATTCGGTAGGTTCAGAGGGTCGAATCAAAATCCTGGAAGCCAATGGTCGAAGGCTGATATTCGGCACCGGGCCTTGATCGGGAGAGACTCAGAGACCTCTTGGGAGATTCATGAGCCCAGTCATCAGAGGATGAGTCGGGCCGTGGTGGAGCGAGACGCTTGGTCGTGCGCAAGAGGCTGAAAATGGTTGGGAAGCGGGAGGAGTTTCCGTTCACCGGTGCTGGACAGGCGAGGGGAATGAAAAGGAGTGTCAGAAAAAGAAAAGAAAGGAAGGGGAGGCCGAGAGTCCAACGGAAAAGCCTGATCCCCCACGTATGCACTCTTCGTTTTGTTTCCGTTTGCTTGTGCTACACCAGCGGACTGGTGTGCGTGATGCAGAGGCACATGGCGGGAGCAAATCACTGCGGAGGGTCTGAAATTTGTGACGCACTGATTTGCAGCATCACTTTTTTTTTCCTTCCCCCTCTAATCCTAGTGCCCCGGTACCTTATTAGCACTAACAGCTTACAGCCCTTGGGGATCATCGCCAAGGTTAGCGCCAGTCTTGAAATAGCACCACCTCAATTGACCGGCACGACGGCCAGGTGCGTCTGAGCGCAGCGGGCAACTAAGGTCGCATCAATGAGTGCAACTGGTTGATCAATGTGTATGCTTGTTGTTTAGCTAAGTACTTGGCCTACTATCTACCTATTCACCCCCAAGTACGAATGGGATCCACCTCGCTCACAACTACACGTTCTTGAGCAGGCACAAACTCTCACCACGGAAGCGGCAACCTTCAGGGATCACAGCTGTTGGTGAGTGACTTCCAATGAAATGTCTTGAAAACCAGCCAATGGCGGCACCATGAGCCGCGGAATGACTCAAGCGACTGTCCCTATTGAGAATTTAGATATGGGTAGCCCTCTCTCATCTATCATTATTGATAAATTAGGCACCTACCTGTAGGCTTATCAAGGTTTTCTTGGTATTCATAGGCAAGGTACGCATCCTTGACATTCATGATGACTGGGGATTAGGAAGGTACCTCACTAGCGAGCTGGTGCCACTATCCCCCGCAACGAGGATCCAGTGCCGGAAGTTCCCTGCCTGCTTAGAGTCGCAGCAGAACGAACTGAGGGTAAGGTAGCTGATAAATCAGGCCCACCTCCGATTCGATTTGGATTGGGCAGCCCTATCCCAGGTCGTTGGTGAATGGAAGGCTCGCAGGCCGTCTTCGGTTTGATGTCTCAGGTTTTCGTTCAGAAGAAAACAGGTTCAATGTGACGCTGTAAACTCATCTCATTCTGATGCCATAATTATAGTACCAATATAGAACACTGACTAGCCACCAACCATTGCCTTTCTGATTACTCGCCCAATTCCTCTCTCCGGGTATGAGAAAAGTGAAAATCAATAGTAATAACAATAACCTCGCAAGACTCCCGACATTGCACATATCTTATTCCGTATCCCGTCACAGTCGAGCTATTCCCATCCTGAAATGCCGCGTCTTGGCGGATGATTCGCTGTTCTGTTTATCATTCTACAAGACCTACGCTAAACCAACTTGAACAAAATCATTGCGTTGGTTAGGGAGGTGGCTTGCGGAAAACTGCGGCTGCTCTAGCAAGTGATCGTCAATGAGCCTTCTTTCATGAAAAGCCGGCCTCGCCACTCAATAGACGGGCGATAAGAACATAGATGAAGATGACGCCGCCGGCTATCAATAGCTTGTGTCGATACACCCATCCCCTTCCTGCATCACGCTGCTGAACCACGGCATCAACAACTGCCTGTGTTTGGTTTCCGCTTGATCCGTTGACAGTCAACTGTGGCCCGCATGAAGATTCCTTTTCGCCTCCTATCCGATAACCGGTAGCTGGGTCAACGTTGTTCTGCTTCATCCACTCTCGATTCTCGATGTCAAGCTCGGGCCACTCGATTCTGAACTGTTTACTGTCATCGCTAGTCGAGTTCCACCATCGCGATCGGAAGGCGAGATGTTCTCGTTCAGCCCGGCTGGCGTTGATGGAGCCAGTCGTGATGTCGTCACCCGTCATGAAGGAGAGAAGAGCGTTTAGGATAGTCGACACTTCCCAGGCGGGGTTAAACGATCTGGGATGGAAATCTGAGATGGACAGACATAGTCGTGTTGAGGGCTGGAAACGGCCCGATGGGGTCTTCATGCGGATCGCTGGCGGCGCGAACGGATAGTTAGGGGGGAAGACGAGGGTTCCCCAGTACTGGCCATTATGGTAAGGAGTGTTCTCGGGGCCTGTGAGGACGTAATGCCACCTTTTCAAGTCATTCGTTAGCGAAGCATGGGGGGACATGGGATGGAATACTCACTCAAGAATGTTTGATTGCGAGGGGTGGGCAGTGATGTAAGGAGGTGGGTTCGCCTGGATCGTCAGGTATTCCCGATTTAACTGCAGAAGAATGTCAGTTCAAAAGTTTCAGAGCACTCTAACATCTCTACAAAGGGATGGTCCTACCCGTTTGACAGCTGTTTGGCTGGCCATGCTTTGAGATATTAACCAAGATGGTTGGTTGAGCGAGGATGACGAGGTCGGGGGGAGGGTTGTCGCGTGAGTACTGTAGTTACTTGGGCGCAGTTCTGATGGCCAAGTCGAACGTCTTCTGCGCTGATGGAGAAAATCAAAGTGTATATGCAGATGGCAGGAAAGGCGATGCGAAAGAGAGGTGGTGAAAACACTTAAAGTTGGGCTAGAACTGAACAAAGGATGGTTGCATTCTTGGTGATGTACCAGCGATGCCCGAATGACGGTGCGAAAGGACAGAGCGCCTGCGATGTGGCTGTGTGCCTGAGGCGCTTACATGGGGGATGTGGGGTAGCTCAAGCCCCATTCAGCCTGGGCTGGTAGAACCTAACGCACATGCATCCGAACCGCTTTACCAATTGATGCTACCGGCTTATCTCCATCAGACCATTCCGGGCTGAAAACACCAACACATACCCGCGAGATGGCCGCGAACTTTGGGCCGGGAGGTCAGGTAAGCAATTGTAATACTGGGCGGACGCTATTAGCACTTAAATATTAACGATCGTAGGGTCTTGACCCTTTTGACAAGCTCAATGCCGACGCGGGCTCGCTTCATCAAGAGGCTCTGTCCCAACCCGAGTTCAAGTATGCCCAAGATGCGGCGACGGAACGCCGCGTTGCTCAATTGGTATGCCGCTTGTAGTAGAATGCTCATATACCAGCCTGCTAAGTAGTTCTCAGATGGTGGATCAAGTCTCCATACCTATGACGATCAACGAGCTCCGAGTACATGGCGCCACAAACACCAGACGAAGTTTCCTCGACCCCGTCCTGGCACCGTTGGTCTCTAAGGGCCCCGAGGCACCCTCCACGTTGGGAGAGGTGGCTGCAGGATTACAGATAGCTAGCGCAAAGCTCAGTGGTTTACGTACGTGTCTGCAAGACCCCGGATTTGGGCCAATGCTAACACATTCAGAAATATTTCTACCAAACCCCGAAATTTTCCTAGCATCCGCGCAACAGACTGACCCATCCACTACCCCGACCGATGTCGATGTCGATATCAAACTCCGCGAGCTCTCCCGCTTCAAGCTTCAGACGGGTACGGATGTTGGAAATGGCGAGGGCTCAGCTTATGGCTCTTTGCTGTGGAGAAATATCTTCGGTGGTGCGGAAACGCTGTCTCTGAATGCCAAGGCAGGCACCAGAACAAGATCAGCCTATAGTGCAAACCTCAGCGCCCCGGTATTGAGTAACCCGGACATGAGAATATCATTGGAAGCGCTCTCATCGGCAGCCGAGAAACCATGGGCGTCTCACGAGGAAGTGATGAAGGGATCCAGCTTGCGATTCTCATGGCTAGACTCGAACCGGGACACGCATTCGGTGGAGTATAACGGTGCTTGGCGACAAGTCACTGGCCTCGGCGCTGGGGCCAGTCCTACCATTCGAGCGGATGCCGGCGATACCATCAAAAGTGCCATCAAGCACACATTCTACAGAGAGAGACGAGACAACCCGCAGCTCCCACAGAGTGGATATATGATTCGATCAGGATTAGAATTGGCTGGTATTGGGCCCCTTGGCGGCGATGTAGCATTCTCCAAGGGTGATGTTGAGTTAGGAGGGGCAGTACCGATTCCTTTACCTGGTATTGCAGGACGTTCAGGTGTCTCGGTCGGGGGAGGTTTGAGGATGGGCGTTCTCTGTCCCCTGCCTCTTGGTTTCGAATCTGGAAAGTTACTTCCCAGTCGTATCAACGATCGGTTCCAGCTGGGCGGCCCCAACGATGTCCGGGGCTTTAAGCTCGGTGGTTTGGGTCCTCATGATGGTCAGGATTCCGTGGGAGGTGACGTATTTGCTGCAGGGAGTGTCAATCTGCTTCTTCCTTTGCCATACAAGGGTCCTGAATCAGGACTTCGACTGCAAGTGTTCGCGAACGGGGGTCGACTGGTGGCATTGAAGAACACCACAAAAGGGAAGGGCAACGGCACTGCATTGGACGGAACGGCGCTACGAAATGGTCTCTTCGGTGCCTTGGGTGATTTGGTGAATGGCCTGCCAAGCATGGCCACAGGCGTCGGCCTGGTTTATGCCCATCCAGTCGCCCGGTTTGAACTGAATTTCAGCTTACCTTTGGCATTGAGGAGAGGGGAAGTGGGGACGAAGGGATTCCAGCTGGGCGTGGGCATCAACTTTCTATGATCGCCCTGGAAATGCTAAACGATGTATCATATGTAACTTATAGAACCTCCCCACGCACTTTTCAGTGCACAGTTTGCTTTAAAAGTTATATACCCGATCTAGCTTACATATTCCCTATACTGAAACTTTCCGAGCCTTATTATCCGTGTTCGTAGCTTATGGGCCCATGAAGATTCAGCAAGTCGAAGCAAGGGGAGAGTTCATCTTCGGGACAAGCGTTAGAAGGAGTACCATTGGTAAAGTTTCAACATAATCCTGGATAGCAGCTCCCTCCACTATT